ATTCTCTTATTTTAGCTATTACAGTAAGTACCCTGTGAATTTGATCAATACACAAGATAACCCGGTTTAAATCCCAGCAAGTGAACTGACATTCACCTCAGACCGTGCTCGATCGACATTCGGGCTGGTAACTTCTTTCGAAAGAGAACTTTACACTTTCTTTCAAAATTTCCTTTCAGAAACTTTTTTTTTGTTTTCATATTTCCCTCCCATCACCCTTCCACTGCAGCCAACTCTTACCTACCTCAACTTCTCGGCCAACCCAATGCCTCTACCCTCCTGACGCAAATACACAACGACTCCACGTCCTTCTTGCTGAATCAATCTCATTGCTTCATGCAGTTGTTCTCCACAGTCACAACGTGCGCTGTTGACTGTCTCGCCGGTGAAGCATTCGGAGTGAATTCTCACTAGCGGAGGTGAGCGTAACTGTAAAGAGCTTGTATTTGTAATTGGAGTCGTGATTTTATTAGCTGTATTCAATGTACTCGTATTCAATACAGTCTCAGTGTTTGTATCATTAGTTGTATTTAATGCACTCCCATTCAATACATTATTCACATTTCCTTTCTCTATATTGTTATTCCCACTATATTCATTCGATCTTTTCTGACCAGGTCTTAATCTTCCAACGTATGCTCCTCTCGCTATTCTATCCATTTCGCTTTCTCTTGGGCGTGGAGCATCTAATGACTTACTCCTAATATCATCACCAAACACAATGGCCAAATGTTCTTTAGAGTCTCTGTTATTTTTGTACAAATGCAGAAAGAATTCACCAGTGGGAGTAGGAATACGAGCGCGTACTTGGCATTCGACTGTTAAAGATGTGTTGTGTGTGGGTGTGGCCGGAGGAGTGAGAGTCTCCAAAGTTCTGAGTGATATGCGGTTCTGGGTCGAGTACGGTTTCTTTGCCGAGGTGCGTTTGCGTGGCTGTAAGTGCGAAGAGGACAGGAGCTGAGAGGGATGTGGCGAGTGGACAAGAGTGCTGAGTGGTGGTGCCTGGTGAGCCGTGACCGGAATTTGGCCGTTTATTGGAGAAACATCTAATGGTTGAGCGAAGAGAGATTCTTCTACAGATTGATAACCCATTGAATGCATAAACTATAGATGGCGGAGTAGTTTTTACAAGTCGAGAGAAAAGACCGAGTATTGAAATTAAAAAGACTGGAATATTTGATTGATATTGCAAACTATTTGAGAGATATTTTTTTTTCTTTACCAAATGATTTGTTGCACGTGAGTGATTACTGATCTAGATACGATAAATCAAAATGTCGACATATTTATAAAGAAACACTATTTATAGTGTGTTACACCCGTGATGTGGACGGGTTTGGCGATCTGCCGAAATCCGGCTTGCAAATTGACATTGCCAACCAATCAGATAAAAAATACGGGCCCAAAACGATTTATAATCGAATACTGTGCTACGTTTGCTTATCAATCAATATTTGATCACTGTTGGTTTGCTGTATAAGCCAAAAAAACACGCTTAATAATGATGCTCACGTCATAACTTAATCGAAACGTTAATCCTAGCCTTTACGCGAATTTCCTTAACAGCACTACATCGCTTAGTATTTATTGACAATGCTCCGTACGTACAATGTAACATAACAACTATCGCTATGCAACTGCATGACGTATCTAAATGACGTGAATTTGAACTGATCTTGGCAGAGTTTCAAACATCAATCTTAAACCCAGTCGTTCCAGTGCTCAAAACGTTAAAGTAGAGAAACTCATTAATTTCTGTGCTAGTAGATCGTATAAAAAAGGCGTCGGTTTCAGGCCGAATACCCCAACATCTACGTAATAGTAAGCGCAATTTATTTAATCGTAATCAGACTCAGTTAGATTACAAAGTTTCCCAGAACAATCTTGCAATATTCATCTTAACCGCGTCTTTTTCTAAGTTCAGCAATAACTCTTCAATTATTAGTCTCCTTGTTGCTTGAGGTGTTTTATAAAAGTGCGTTTCGAAAATGGAGAATAAGAATAAAAGCGTAATTAAAAAGCACATCATTCTTGCTCTTTTTGGACAATAGGCCAGCTATATCAAACAAAAATAATATTCACGGTACATTCTCTGCATAAATTTGGTCGTTGTGAACTTGAACACGCACTATGAGATATTTCACATATTATTTTTAATCTAAAAGGGTTTCTTTATGGTAAACCCAGCAGTCATTATCAGCATTACTTTTAACGGCTTCTTCACATACTGATACTATTCTTAGGATTATCGGATTCTCTAACAATTGCCTGACAGGTAATATTGATTTTGAACGAAGATTAGGAGGTTCAGTCGGCAAATAATTTACTGTTGCAGAGGAGTTGCAAATTGTTTCTCCAGTTATCAGGAAAAATAACTTCCATTGCACCCAACCTTCTTCCTAGTGTATGACGATAAAAGTGATTGCCATCATTTATGTTGAATATATGGATTGGTTCAGTCTTTGATATATATAGTTCGTCATATATCAAGCAAATCCTTTGCTAGTGACATATTGCGTGTTTAGATGTGCATCCCAAGCCAATAGTGTAGGGGCATGGTAAGGCATAATCCATCTGTCTTCTTCTGTAATTGCTTTGTATATGTATCATAGAGATGTTTGATTATGATATGTTATATAGGAGACAAAGGCCGGGAAAACCACGTTTGCATTGGGGAAGTTTGGTCTTCAAAACAAAAATCACTTTTATTGCTGAATTGTTCCTAAATACATGGTTAACAAGGGGACTTACTCAACTGCCAAAAGATACAAAAAAATAAGCACTGAAGAACAAAAACAGGTAAGCAAAGTTTTGGGCCGCCTGAAATAACAGCAAAAACCGACGCCGCCAATTCAGAAGGAATCTATATTGAAACTAACAATCTTTTTGCTAGACTTTACAGAGATATAGCAAAATGCTACAGTTATTGAAACAAAAAATCGTTTACCAAAAAACATGAATGCTATTGGTCTTGAAGCCTGAGCTCAAATGGGTAAAGTGATGCAGGAGTGCATTAAAAAAATTGGGGAAAAACTAAATTGTGACGACTATATGATTTTGATGACTATTGGAAAAAAGGCAGCTGAGATGTTTGAAATTGAAAAATATGGAATTAAGTTCGTTCTTAGAAGCTGTTAATGAATGCTCAATTTCAATCCAGCCTAAATTTGAACAAGACAGATGTCGAAGTTGAGGAGAAGGAAAAAGAGAAATGAGAGGTTCTATGGAAGATGAAAGGATAGCTGAAAAGCTAAGAGATCCAGATTTTTATTATCAAAATGAAAAAAAACTCCAAAGGTTGTATTAGAAAACCAACTCAATAAGAGTATGAGAGAGAAGAATTACTGGATGGTTGGTTGCAGATTCCTGTTATACAGTATCTCCTAATTATTTTAACAATCATAATAATAATAATTAAAATCAAGAAAAAAATTTTTAACTGAGCAATTAACTAATATAATACAAAAGTTATTCAATACTTGCCTGGGATTTAAACCGGGTTATCTTGTGTATTGATCAAATTCACAGGGTACTTACTGTAATAGCTAAAATAAGAGAAT